ATGTATACATATACTGCTCATTTGCGAATTGCGATTAAAGTATATCCAAAATTAATGCCATTGGTAAAGAACATACATACATACCGTTTGTGACATATCAAAATATTGGTCGTAGAACCACAAAAGTATATATGTATATTTTGGTTCCTTATTAAGGCTTGAATATAACAAAGGCGGTGGCGGCGACGTTTAACGCCATTGGGAACATTTTGAATTTAATAATTAAATGATGCATAAATTTATTGGATTTTTGGATATACAAGAAAATATTTGCTTTTATGGTACAAAAATACTACTGTATTTTATTTACCTTAAGTAATATTTTAAATATATAATCTGCGCATACAGTCTAAAATAAAATTTCATTATCAACTACATACATATAATAGTTTTTCAAGTAATGTATAAATTTTGGTTGGGATTATTTCATTTGTTTTTATGTACAAAAAATCTATGTATGTATATAAATAAACCCAGCGGTTCGACGGGACAGTCCCGAACTGACCACTTAACCTACCACTTGTGGTGGCCCCTAGCCACCTGACTACCCAGGTGACCAACCATTTTAACATGGGCTTGTCCTACGAGGAAGTCAATCGTCACTCTACACCCTACAAAGATACAGTAAAGAGACGATTGCCTCCGCTCTCGCTTACAAAGGGGATACTAAAATGACGACTGTCTCCATTCTCGTTTACAAAGAGTTTATTTGTGACGAAAGACCAAAAACATACGAATAGGAGGTGGTAAGATATTAAAGGAACTAAAATTTAAAAATTTCAAGTGTCTACTCTCTAAAATACTATGGGACAATAATGTGACGATTGACCCGAAAGATATAAATTTGAGTCAACCAGATGGTGGCACATTAGTAGAAAGTAACAATCATTTCTCCAAAAGATGGGTAAAATAGCTACTTTCGGAAGTACAACAAAAAAAAAAAAAAACAACTTTTAAGAGTATAATCTCTAGGTTACTTGAGGACAGTAAAGAGACGACTGTCTCCGCTCCCGCTTACAAAGAGGACACTAAAGTGACGACTGTCTTCATTCTCGATTACAAAGGGTGCATTCGTGACGAATGACCCAAAACATACGAAATTAGTGGAAATTACTGTCTTTTTCGTATGCATTGACTCTTTGTCGAACTGCTGGGAAAGTAATGTTTGTTCGTAATCGATAAACTAAGGAACTACTGCACGTAATATGACAAAATTTAAAATACATACATATGTATGTATATGTTTCAGTGATGGTTAAGCGACACCGCCACACATCAAATTTGTTTTACTCAAACGGTAAGTTTTTTGATTGTGTGAGTGAAAAAACTCACCCAGCAGTTCGACAAAAAAGAGTAATTTCCACTAATAGTTAACCACCTGGATGATCGTAATTCGTATGTTTTGGGTCATTCGTGACGAATGTACCCTTTGTAATCGAGAATGAAGACAGTCGTCACTTTAGTGTCCTCTTTGTAAGCGGGAGCGGAGACAGTCGTCTCTTTACTGTCCTCAAGTAACCTAGAGATTATACTCTTAAAAGTTGTTTTTTTTTTTTTTTTTTTTTTTGTACTTCCGAAAGTAGCTATTTTACCCATCTTTTGGAGAAATGATTGTTACTTTCTACTAATGTGCCACCATCTGGTTGACTCAAATTTATATCTTTCGGGTCAATCATCACATTATTGTCCCATAGTATTCTAGAGAGTAGACACTTGAAATTTTTAAATTTTAGTTCCTTTAATATCTTACCACCTCCTATTCGTATGTTTTTGGTCTTTCGTCACAAATAAACTCTTTGTAAACGAGAATGAAGACAGTCGTCATTTTAGTATCCCCTTTGTAAGCGAGAGCGGAGGCAATCGTCTCTTTACTGTATCTTTGTAGGGTGTAGAGTGACGATTGACTTCCTCGTAGGACAAGCCCATGTTAAAATGGTTGGTCACCTGGGTAGTCAGGTGGCTAGGGGCCACCACAAGTGGTAGGTTAAGTGGTCAGTTCGGGACTGTCCCGTCGAACTGCTGGGCACTCACAAAATTTTTTTTACCAACACAATCAAAAAACTTACCGTTTGAGTCAAACAATTCGGTGTGTCGCCAAGGTGTTCGAAGTTTTTTTTTTTTATTTTCAATCTATTACACTGGTCTGCAAAAAAAGCTTTTTTGCACTCTTAAATTTTAAAGAAACATTTTTTGAAGATTCGAGCACAGGTGTTCGAAAATTTTTTAAAGCTGTTAAAATTAATTTTCTAGTCCGAATGGGCTGAAATTTGGCATGCATTATTGCACCTAATGACAATACATTATAATGTTCGGATATTTGAAATTAATTTCGAAATTCGAACTAATGTTCGAAAATGTTTATATCCATAGAATAATAATGAAAATTTATTTTTAAATTACAAATGAAATCGTTTCATTAAAAAGCTTTACCATTAGACAAAATAATGCTAATGAAAAAAAAAATAATTATAATTTTTTCAATTTAATGCTAATGAAATCGTCAATTAATTAGTCGATATAATTAACTACTCCCATGTATGTTATTGTACATATCGCACAACTCAAAATATTATTTTTACGTTTTTATATTCGTTAAGCCTTAAACTATGCACAAGATACTTGTTTATCTCTAAACAAATATCACAGTATTTTGTTGTTGTTAACTGTTGAAGAAAAAAACGTTGTCTTTCTTTATGTTGCAGAATTTGTAAAAATTTTTTCCCCTTTTAATCCCCATTGAAGTGGCACTCAGAATTTGTAAAAAATTTTTTCCCTTTTAATCCCCATTGAAGTGGCACTCATACATTTTAAATACTTTTCCAAATTGTATGTATAAGTTCTATTGTAGGACCCTATAATAATAATACCTTGTAATACTGTACTATAAGATTCGGCGAATATAACACTTACTTGTTTTCTTCTAATTTTTTTTAGTTTTATTAAATTTTTGATTGATACCGACCGATACCGTTACAATTTAAATTCCTTTACCGATACCGAAATAATAAAAAATTTAATTCCGATATCGTTATTTATTTCGGTTGCCAACTTTGGTAATTACATTAAATATATTCGTATTTATTTAAATATGCGTTTTTATCTTCATTAGATAACGTAAACCTTATTTTAGGGTAATCAGTATGAGAATAAGATGACAGTTTCAAAATGCCAATTTCAAACTTTATTTTATGTCTTTTCAATAAATAAAAGATGTTACTAAAGCTGCCTACACTATGAGAGAAGTCGTTAGATTTTCATACTGCCAAAACAAAATAAAATGTATGATTATCAAAAAAAAAAAAAAAATCAAATAGAAGATATATTTTGTTTTTACACTATTCGATTTGAAATAAAATGAAACTTCAATTTAAAAAAATTCAAAGAAAAAACGTAAATTTTAATTTTGTTTCTGTTTTTATTTGAAATTTGTTTCTGTTTTTCTGTTTTTCTTGGTTTAAATAAATATAAAACTAAAATAAAACGAAAAAATCTAATCGTTTTGAAATTTTTCAAAAAAATTTAAAAAATCATACGATTTTCAATTTTCCATCCGTATTTTCAGTAAGTTTTATTACATTTTGTATCTACACTATAATATTTTTAATTTAATTTGAAAATTTTGACATGTCCTTTTAATGAATATTATGGTGTGTAGCCAGCTTAATTATCACAAAAATATTTGAAATTTGTATTGAAACACAAAAACATTTTGTGATAATTTGTAAAAATTTTTTGTTATTGAACAGACATTTCATGGACAATGAATAAGGAAATAAAATAGTAAAAAAATTGATCAACATCACTTTTTTATTTATTTATTTATTTTTTAATTTAGCCTTAATTCTATATTGTTATAAAATCTTTTCAGAATATAAAATTCCAGATAATATGAAACATACATCTGAAGATTTAGAAAAATCGAAAAATGATAACCCATAAACTGTGAATATCAAAGTAAACCTATGCAGTATTAGGAAATTTTGTTGAAACCATAGTTTTGAATATTATTTTGTTTTCAACCGATTTAAATGAAACTTAAGAAAAATATATCGAGGGACTATATTCAATAGTCTCTATCTAAAATAATACAAGTTTTTTCATCTACAATATATTTTTACGACCATATTCTAAATCCTTATATAAAAAGAATTTAAATTTTGCATTAATTGCAAATTTATATCAGATAGAGCTTTTTTTCTACGAACATATTTTTACATCCTTCAGATAGAGAGTTTTTCATAGAAATATAAAAAAAATAAAATGTTGAAAAGGTTTTGGTTCAAAATCAATGTTATATGGTTAAACACTGCAATAAAATTAATCAAACCAGTATCATAATGAGCGATATCTCGAAAACTATTAAACCGATTTTAAATATTTTGGAAGATTTGTGTTCAGCATTAATAAAAACGCTAAACAACACCGGTACAAATACCGATATAAATTTAATATAATTTAATAATTCTGACACCGTTATTTGTTTTGGTTCGCAACTTTGCTAAAAAAAACAACATTAATTTAGCACAAAATAAAAAAATCATAAAAAATTAAAAACAAAATAACAAGCTAAATTTATCTAATTTCACAAATTATACTGGGTACTGCAAACATGTCAATCCCGCTCACTTCCAACCAGCTCATGTTTGTACTTTCAGCTTATTTACGGTCGTTTTCGACCAAAAAACGACATTTAACTGAACTTTTGTCTTCCTAATATTTTGATATTCATACTGATCTATTTGTGCATCAACAGCAATATAGGACCAACAGCACGCCATGTAAATGCCATGAATATCATCAAATTTCCTCCATTGTGATATATGATTTCTCAGGAACACATTGGCTGTACCTTCATGATTTGAGGTTTAATAGGTTCAGATAAAATAATGAAGAAATATTAATTTAACTAGTGAGCTGAACCTAGCTAATGACAAACGATGTTAATTTTTTTTAAATTTAACGAACGATTCCATCCAAAGGAATTAGTTTAGTAGAATAAGTTTTTAATAACCCCTCATATACATGTTTTATTTTTATTCGTATGTCTATTCTAAACAAGAAAAGTTGAAACATTTGTTGACTGTGGTATTAAGCAACGTGATTGAGTCAATTCCTCTTGTGAAGTGGGACGTTTATCTTTTTCAACAGCTTGCTTATGCATGATAGATCGAAAATGCACTACAAGATGAGTTCTCCTGGTAAAAGATCTATTACAGACATCACACCTAAATGAAATAATGTTAATTAAATATTACTTGATTAATAGATAAGGTTAATAATCTTACTTAAAAAGTCGTTCGCCAGTATGTGTTAGCATGTGATTTTTAAGTATATAAGATGTAGTAAAGGATTTACCACATTGGGAGCACATAAATGGTCTTTCATTAGTATGTGTCCTTTCGTGTTTTATACGTGTACTATAATCAGTAAATCTTCTGTCGCAAAATTTACAAGCGAACGGTCTTTCTCCCGTGTGCCTCCTCATATGTCTTCTAAGCTCAGAACTTGTGAAAAATTTGTCGGGGCAAAGCCTATAAATTAAAAGTCATACTAATGCTATTTAAAAGTTCAGATATATATTAACAACAATTTATTTCTTACTCGCAAGCACATCTCTTATCACCTGAATGTCGCCTTAAATGCAGTTTGAAATGGTGACGACAAGTAAAATGATTTCCACATTGATCACATATAAAAATATTAGGATGTTCGTAAGCATCTTTACGTTTTTTCCTGCTTTTCGTTATTTCTTTTTTTATTTTGGTGTTTTGTCCTTCACCAAGTAGTCTCTCTGCCTTTTTGCCTTTGCGGTTAGTTTTCGGCTTCTTTACTGGACACTCTGCAGTTTCTGGGTTATAATCTACATCACTATCATTAATGTATAAGGCTTCTTCGTCGCTTACCGGCTTTGAAGTATCAAAATTCTCGTCTAATTTTTCACAAATTACTTCTTCTATTAAAATCTTTGTATCTTCTAACGTGTTTTCTTCGTTAGGTTTTAATTCCAATGCATTTATTTCGTCTCTGCTTCCTTTAGCAAATGTCAATATTTGTCTTTTGTTTAAATCTTGTGATTCAATATTTATTTCCTTCTCTTCATCTGCTGAAGAAATAACTTCATGCTTGTCAATTACTATATTTCTCTCTTCCTTTACGGCAAACACTTGCACAAATTCAGTGGCTTCTATTAAGACTTCAGAGGTTGGCTTTCGATATCCCCTTGACCTCTTTACCTTAAAAGATGCCTGAACTCTAAGAAAATTATCTCGAAAATTGTATGCACTAATTAAATCCTTTTTGCAATCGTAACACATAAGTTTGGGGAAACCCAAATTGTTTTTCAGCTAATATTGGAACATTCAGAAATTAACTCTATTTAATATTTAGTTTACATACATACATTCATATGTATGGATGTATGTACATATAATAGATTTTCATGAAGAATTTTGTTTAAAATCAACAATAAACTTACCCTTACTCCAGTAAGATCTTTGAGCTGAAGCAAGATATTTTTATTTTGAATGTCGAAGAGATTAGTAGCATCTTTCTCTTGCACAGTTTTAGCACATATTCTACATTGGTCCTCACACATCTTTTGGAAAATTAAAACTTCAAAAAACAATAAAAATATCGCGAGTACAAACAAACAATTGCCATGAAATAGCTACACGCAAAAAAATCAAGGTACCTATTTATAATAACATTGGTTAAGAAGCCTCTGAGTTACAGTGGGTCAAAGTTTTATTTATTATTTCTATTATTCTTATCAAAATTTGTTCCAAATTACTTAAAACAATTATCTTCAATCTTTAGGAAAAAATATTTAAAAAAAAAATAGTTTCGACTTTTGTTTGTAAAATTTAATTTTTTTCAAAATGGGGCCTTTTTTTTATTAAATTAGATTTGTTATTTTTATTGAAATAGGTGCTCTAAAGGTAAACAATTTGTTGAAAAAATGTGCAAATCAGGGTCTCCAAAAATATGTAAATCAATCAGCTGTCTTTCAAAGTTGTAATTTTTACATATAAAAAGATAACCCATTTTTAGCGAAACCGGTGTTGGCTGCACCTGTAAAGACGTCTGAAATTTAGTTAATACCGTCTCTTCGTAGTAGCCGGTCTTTGAAGAACTTTATGCTTTAAGATGCATAGAACACTGATTCGATACAATTTGTTTGTTGTATCAAAATTTTTGTATATGAAACATATGTTTGATGACATATATATCAGGTGCTTTATATATACGACTTTTATTTATACGAATAACATTTATCGTAAATATAAAAGACGTTGTAAAATTTGCAAAATTAAAATAAATTTGTTTTTAATTTTCAAAAATAAGTGGACATTTTTTTATGTGTATGTTATCAAAACAGACGATTAAGGTTGACATTGCAATGCTGCCACATTTAATGTATTTTAAAATAAAAATTAATAGGTAAACAAACATTAAGGTAAATTAAAAAAAATCACGATGGCAACATGTAAATTTTTTGACATACATAAGTATCAAGGCTAATTCACATAAGGTGGTGGCAGTTCAGCAATAACGAAATTTCTGAGATAATCGTCGCATTATTAATCAATTGGATAGATTAAATCCAAATTTTAGTTCTTGCACCATGGTTAAACATATATTCTTCTTAAAATTCCGCTTCTAGATTATGATTAAAAAAAATAAAAATTAATAAATAACATTTAGGAAATTCTTCTTAAATATTAATAACTTTTGTCAATGAAAGCAGTTCACAAAATTTATGCTGAAACGTTTTTCTGCGCACGGTTCTCAAAATCTATATAATAAAAATTGACAATCGTGCGTTGACTATGAAGAAACATTTTAGGACGTGTTTGTAGGTCATGTCCCCTCAGAAACCCTTTTTAAGACATATAGCCGTCAGCAAGGTATATTAATTATAATATATAATAATTAATATATATTGGCCGTCAGTACACAGACAACGTGTATTAATAAAGTGATGACAGCACAGAGTATTCGGTGACAATACTACTTGTTGTACAACAAACATCAACAACAACCACCTACAATTGTTTTTGTCAAATAACTACCGAATTGTCAAAAATTGCTACTTGCTTTTTTATAATCTAATTTGCTGTCAAAGTTTCCCTGTTGTTTTTATTACTTTTACGTTTAAATTAGTTGCCACTGTATTAATACATTTTGATGCATACTTTAATTTCGTCATAGGATGTGAAATTTATTATTTATTTGTTGATCTGTAATTAAGTGAAATTCTCGAAATGGAGAACGCCAAAAATAAATTTACAAAAACAGCTATAATGGCTGCTGCTGGTTTAGGATTGTTAATTGTAGTGGCCACAAAGCGAAAACGCATCTTCCAATACTTGAAATCAGTAAATGATCCTCTGAAGTACAGGCGTATAGAAGTTATTCAGACAGTAGAAGATTGTCATAGGGTAGTTAACCAATTAAAGAAGTAAGTAGTTATAAACATACAAAATTAATAAAATTTATTATTTTAAATAATCTGCAGGCACTGTAATACACTAAAAGTTTTGGGATTTGATTGCGAGTGGGTAACCGTTGGGGGTAGCAGACGTCCAGCAGCATTGCTTCAGTTGTCTTCTGGTGAGGGATTGTGTGCTCTTTTTAGACTATGTTGTATGAAACAAATTCCTAAAAGTTTAAGAGACCTATTAGAAGACGATGAAGTCGTTAAAGTGGGTGTTGCGCCTCAAGATGATGCCAAGAAGTTGGCTCATGATTATGGTGTGGGCGTGGCGAGTACCTTCGATTTACGATTCCTAGCATTATTAACTGGTAAAAAGCCAGAAGGGCTTGCTAAGATGTCAAAATCTGTCTTAAATATAGAGTTAGACAAACACTGGCGTATAGTTTGCTCTAATTGGGAAGCTAAAGATCTCAGCGAGAAACAATTAGATTATGCTGCAAATGATGCTTTAGTTGCTGTTGAAATCTTTAAAAAATTATCAAAGGATCTAAATCCTAAAAGCATTTGGCTTTCGAAAAATGATTTTGAACGCATCCGTCTGAAGTTGGAACCGTTTTATGAAGTTAATTTTAAAGAAGGTTTTATTAAGGATTTAAACAAAGAAAAAACCAATAAAAAGATGGTTAATTCCAAAAGTAAAATTGACCAGAGTTTAAAAAAATCACAAGTTCGAGGAATAAGTACTAGGTCGAAAGCGTTATATGATAATTGTCTATTGGAAGCACCTGATGGTGAGCTGCTATGCACTATAGACAGACGCAAGGCGAAATGGTATTTAGACCAGGGTCTTGGAACTGAAGTGATGTTAGATCCCTTCACGGTCAGGCTTAATTTTGAACCTGCTGGAAGAGCTGTGGGAGAAGTTGGCAAATATTACCAAACGCCAAAGGAAAATCGGTGCGTTGTTTGTGGTTATAGGGATTCCTTCATAAGAAAAAATGTGGTGCCGCGAGAATATCGTAAACATTTCCCCGGTAAAGTATTACTTTTAGAACAAAAAATATATATTTACATACAGTGGTGGCTACGATTTTAGCACACTTGGTATATGTTGCCTATAACATAAAATATTTCCTATAGTTCTTAACTTTTTTAACAAATTATTTTTTATGCGTAACACATGTCCTTCGATGATCACGACACATTACATTTTGTTCCACTACTTTGTTGCATATAGATTTTTTTCTTTCCAAAGTACATCTACCCCCAAAAAAATATGGACATAAATTTAGCACAAAATTAAAAAATCATTAAAAAATTAAAAATAAAACTAAACAACCGGCTATATTTATCTTATTGCACTTAAAATTTTATATTATGTGGAATAGTTGCAGATTTTGATAATATCATTTCTCCTCCTGGACATAATCTTCACCAGAACCCTCTAGAAATTTCATGACATAAATATTAACTTTCAGCCCATAAATAGGCAAAATTCTTGGTGATTTCTGCTTTTATTTGTTGGTCCATATCATGTTATATGTTCTCTATTGAATTGGAATCGAGAAAATATACTGGGCACTGCACACATGACAATCCCGCTCGCTTCCAAGCAGCTCATCTCAGCACTTTTAGCATATTTACGGTCGATGTCGACCAAAAAACGCCATCTTTGTCCTCCGATTTTTTTTAATAAAGTATTTAAGATCCTATTTTGATAGTCATACGGATCCATTTCTGCATCCAACATCAATATAGAACCAACAGCACGCCAAGAAAATGCAATGAATACCATGAAATTTCCCCCTATTGTGATATATGATTTCTCTGGAACACTTTAGCTTTATCTGCATGATTGGAGGATACTAGTTGAAGATTAATAGGATCAAATTTGATGGAAAAATGTAATTATGCTGTACTCCAAACATGCAGCAACAACCAAAGTGTACATTTAAAACCATAAAACACAATGGGTGAAATATGACGAATTCGGAGGCGTTTTCCGGGCGTAGTGGAGGTTTTATAAGCAAAGGTGGATGCACAAATGGATCAGTATGACTATCAAAATAGACTGTTAAATATTTTTGTAAAAAAATTAGTGGACAAAAGTTCAGTTAAATGGCGTTTTTTGGTCGACAATGACCCAAAATATGTTAAAAGTACAGAGAGGAGCTTCTTGGAAGCGAGCGAGATTGACATGTTTGCAGCGCCCAGAATAATTTCTAGATCCCAATCCAATAGGGAACATATTAAACGAAATGGTGCAACAAATAAAACACAAATTCCTAAGAATTTTGCCTATTTATGGGCTGAAAGTTAAAATTTATGTCATGAAATTTCTAGTGTGTACTGGTGAAGATTATGTCCAGGAGAAGAAATTATGTTATCAAAATGTGCAACTATTCTACAAAATATAAAATTTTAAGTGCAATTACATAAATTTATCCGGTTTCTTTGCTTTATTTTTAATTTTTTAATGATTTTTTTTATTTTGTGCTAAACTTATGTCCAAATTTTTTTGGGGGTAGATGTACTTTGGAAAGAAAAAAATCTATATGCAACAAAGTAGTGGAACAAAATGTAATGTGTCGTGATCCTCGAAGGACATGTGTTACGCATAAAAAAGAATTTGTTAAAAAAGTTAAGAACTATAGGAAATATTTGATTTTATATTTAACAGATACCAAATGTGCTAACCTCATGGCCGCCACTGTATGTATATAATAATTCTTATGTACTTTATTTTCATAAACAGATGTAATGAAATCGCATACTTCTCATGATGTTCTATTATTATGTCCAAAATGTCATCAGTTAAGTAATATTTCCGATTTGAAAGTACGTCATAAATTAAGTCAAATATGCGAAGCACCTTTTACTTATAAGGAAGGTGCATATAAATTAATAGAAATTCCTGAACTTGGGTTTGTATTTGAAGAATATACATATGTATGTATTATAACAAATACCCACATATGTATGTATCTATGTAAATAATTGTTGGATACTTTATAATCATATGTAGTATTAAAACTAAATGCACTTTTGTAGACAAGTGAAATCAGCGGCTAGGGCATTATTGAAATGTGGAGATCAAATTCCTGAAAATAGGAGAAAAAAACTAGAATCAATTGTTTTAAACTACTACAAGGAGGAAACTGAAATTTGCCTTAATCTGTTGCAAGAAGCTTCGGAAATTGATACAAAACAAAATAATGAAAATTATTCGCAACATGGAGAAAAAGTTGTTCAAAAATTTCAGAAGAATCTTGGTGGTCTCTTGGAGTTGGAAAAAATTTGGCGAGAACATTTTATACATACTATGCAGCCAAAATACTTACCTCCTCTGTGGAATATCAATCACAACGCAAACAGGTTTGGAATATAATATTTAGTAAACTTTGGCATATGCAATATTACAATATTTATTTAGATTAGAAATCAAAGCCAATGAAGGAAGAATTAATCAAGGGGATCTAATTTTAGCTGGTGTAATTTTGGGACAAGAGCAAAAGTTAAACAAAAAGGAGTGAGAATTAAATTTGAAATAATTTATTCCAATAAAATTATTTTTAATATTATTTGCATATTTTTATCATGGTACATACTACATACATACATACATATGTACATACATATCGTCACCTAAAAAGCAAAAGGACGTAACAACGTTTCAAAATTTTCCAGGAGATACAAAAAACCAAATTAAATTAACTGTTGTTATAAAAATTATTTTTTCTTACATGTATTATATGCCATTCCCAACAAACGCGTTTTAATATATGTAAGTGTCCGCCAAGACATTGTTTAATATGTTGATTTTTAGCAATTTTGTCTTGTGGGAATAACTTATTTGTTGTTACGCCCTTTTGCTTTTGTTTTTAATAAACTCGTTGTTTTTGGCAAGTGTTCTTAGAACTTGCAACAAAAATCAAAAATAATTGTTCAATTTTTTGGTTGTTACGCCTGCTTGCATTTTAGGTATTTTAGATATACATATGTACATACATATTATGTATGTATGTACGTACGTATGTTATGTACGTTTATTTATATTTCTTTTAATGCCAGGCCTCTGCGTTTATATGCAGATTTTCTTACTTCATTGAATACAAATTATAACATTTTCTATACTAAGCATTTGATTTTTTATTTGAGCAACTTACAAAAAGTCTTAACAATTGGTAAAAGAACTGCAATTTATTTAGAATATTTATTATGTGTGTATGAATAAATATCGGTTCAATTTGGTTTAATTATTTTGTTTGATTTGCATTAAGAGGAGTACAATTTAAATCTATGTTCCTATTAAAGTAATGAGATTATAATACTAATTACTACATTAGAAAAAAGAAACCACAATGCATTTAGTTATTTGAAAGTCGATGATAATATTGTTATTTAAGACTTCATTAATTTATGTATGTATATTAATTTTATCAATATCTTTACTCAAAAATAAAATAACGTAGTCGTTTTCGAACTGTAGATTCTCGGGGTAGGGAAAGCGCCCATTTCTTAAGAGCTGCTAAGATAACTGAACTTACTACTAGTAATGCTCCTATTAATGAATAGAAAGTAGGAGTCTCACCAAAGAATATTATTTGCCATATGAAGGCAAATACGATATCGGCGCAACGAGCTATAGCCACAGGTCCCGCTTGTTCCATTTGTAAAGAGAGTGTTAAAAGAATTTGTCCAAGAAAACTAAAAATACCTAAAATGACTACCAACCATCTATCGCGTCCACAAGCTGGCCAACAAACGGCACCAATTGATCCACAAACAACTAGTGTGTATATTAAAGCAAACGCTCCGAAGTTTGTCATAATAACCGAAAAATGCAATCCTTTTAATGCTCTTAAAAGTATATAAACGTTGGCACCAAATAATGTTGACGAAATGGCTGCAACAGGACCCCAAATGTCATATTTTTTTCCTTCATATCTTTCGGCTTCGAGAGAAGGTGCAGCATCGCCAAATACAAAAGGCGGGCGAGTTATTAGCACCACTCCTACCAATGTCAAAACAATAGTAACGACATTAAATAAACTACATTGCTCTTTAAGAAAAACTCTAGCAAATATGGCCACAAATACAGGGGTTGAAAATATTATTACACTGGCATCAGCTAAGGGCATATGACGAAATGCGTAGAAACTAAGCATTAGTCCTGTGGTCCCCATGAAACATCGTAATAGTAATATGATTCTTTTACCCTCTGGAAACACAGGTTGCTTGGTGTATACAACAATGGGTATAGCTGGCAATAACACGCCAATGAATCTAAACAAATATACATACATACATATATGAAAATAATTACATATTTAGTTGAATCATAATTGAAAGAAATGCTCACCTAAATGATGCTAATTCCATAGGATTAATATCTACTAGTCCTTTTACTATCACAGAACATAGTGAAAAGAATAACGATGATAACGTAGCTAATATAATGCCCAAATATGGACAGTTTAACTTTGACTTTATTCGAGTAAACCAAAGTTTGGAGGTTTCGTTATTACGAAAACCATCCACAAACTGATGTAATTCAAGATTTTCAGGCATTTTCTGTTTACACACAAGCTTTTTTATTCTCCCATAAATTTCATTTTACCTGTAAAGACAAAGCCAGAAATATTAAATAAAATTAAGGTGCTAACGCAATGTTAAAATCGATTTTTACCCTTCTAGAAATTTTTCTTTATATTTATTTTAAAATTATTGCATTTTCTTAAATGTTCAATTATTTGCATTATTTTGAATAATTATTTATAGTATATCTTTTATATTTCCTATACTAATATGGTTATTTTGATCCAATTATGATGTATTTATTTGGATTGTCTTATAAACTTTGTTGACAGAATAACAGTAAATCCTTCGTTATATTTTATACCACAATAATTTTCCTATTATTTGTTTTAGTTCCTTCTTCGGGATCAGAGCCCTGCGCCGACAAATATTAACGACGGCGGCGACTGACACTAAATATGTCGGCGGCGGCTTAAAATCGACTGTAAGCAGGCTAAGTTTTCAACTACGTTTAGTTTTTAATTTTTCAACGATTTTAAATAAAAACGGAATCCGAGAGATCAGAAAGTAGGATTTTGGAAGCAAATATATTGTTTATAACAACAAAACAGAGCAAACTCAAAAGTTGTATGAGAAATTATGCAGGGATGAATAAAAAATTCTTAAAAATTAAAAACAAATCCTTTCTCCAAGTTTTACTAGGATCTGCCGATATTTAACCCTATCTTCCATATAAAACATCTTGCAGAAAATCAGTTTCTAAAAAATTTTGCATTAAGAAAATGATCAATAACGTAAAAACAAAGATATTTTATTTGTTTATTTACTAGCTATACCCAGTGTGCTGTGCTACCCTAAAAGCAATATAAATAAGAAACCTACTTAACAATTTTGATGATTCTAACTACAATAGTTTTCCAGATATACAATTTGTTACATATGGGAGATTCCACGTTTAATTTAATCTATGAAAAATTTGAATAATCTAATAGTTCCCAGATATACAAAATTTTGTATTTAATTCATATGGGAAGTGCCAAGCCCCCATTGAAAGTTCTCTAAATGGTCTTCAGTAAAATTTGAAGATTCTAGCTCTAATAGTTTCTCAGATATACGAATTTTACTATTTAATTCATATGGGAGCTCCAAGCCCCCCAGATGAAAGTCCGCCCTTTTTTCTCCAAAATGTTCAGATGAATATTAAAGTTGTTCGTGCAAAATTTGAAGAATTTAGTTATATTAGTTTCCCAGATAAACGAATTTTTGTATTTAATTCATATGGGAGGTTCCGCTCCCCTCATTGGTAGTCCCCCAATTTATTACCCAAAATGTTTACATGGATGTTAAAGTTCTTCCAGAACAACATCATTTAAAGGGATCACAAAGAGATTGAAAAATATTCCAAAAGTTTCACTTTGAAAACATTATTAGAATGTATGAAAACTCGCAACTTTAAAGGCAGACTATTCCTATTTTAGCGGTAATTTATGATTAAAATAAGTAAGAAGTAAGAGTTATATTCGGCAAATCATATGTCGTAAAACAGCAAATTAGGGAAGTGGTCCGATAATTAGATTAATAAGAACGTCACCGTGATTTTCAGATTAGGGACTTAAATGTGGATTTGGATCAATAATATATATAATTTAAAGTATTTTTTTTAATTCTATCATAATGATAACTTTTGGAATGATGTATTAGCTATAAACTGATTTTCTGTAAGAGGGTTATATTGGCGGACCGATCCTCATAACTTTATTTTTCGGTTCCTAAAAATGTTTTTTTCGTCGACATCGACATTTGAAATCCATTTATGTGCGTTTAAGTCATTTTCTCAAGAAGATTTCATATACATATTTGCATTACATATTTTCGTTCCAACAAAAATTGTTTTATTATGGTATTATTAAGTACGTAAAAAACGTTAAAATCAATTATTGAAGGGGGCAGGGTCAATTATGGCCTATAGTAATTTTGATTGATATCGAGCCATTTTTGCAAAATGGACGTAAGCGAGATAAATTTTCGTTCAATTAGGATACTGCGTGTTTAATTTTATGTTTATATATTCAATATTTTAGAAAATTCAAAAAGTACCAGTTAAAGAACGAAAAATTACCAGAAATACTCCAGTTTAAATTTTCATTCACTCAAGTCCCTGATTGCTTAGTTAGTTTTATGTTTTTAGGTTCGTTATAATAGAAAATTCAAATAGAACCAGTTGAAGAACGAAAAAGTTCCAAAAAGTCCCCTTTTATATGTTATCACTTAATCCGGGCTGTACATTCCAAATTTCATGTTTCTAGGTTCAATATTATAAGAAATTCAAAAAGTACCAGTCGAAAAACGAAAAAGTACGAAAAAGTCCCCTTTTAAATGTTATCACTTAATGCGGGCTGTACATTCTTAATTTCATTTTTCTAGGTTCAATATTATAAAAAATTCAAAAAGTACCAGTCGAAGAACGAAAAAGTACTAAAAAGTCCCTTTTTATAGATTATAATTTACTCCGGGCTCTACATATTTATTTTTATGTTTCTAGGTTTAATTTTATGGCAAACTCAAAAAGTACCAGTCGAAGTACGATAAAGTTCCCATTTTATAGATTCTCATTTACTCCAGGCTCTAAGTGCTTAATTTCATGTTTCGAGGTTCAAATTTTGTAGCAAGCTCAAAAAGTACCAGTCAAAGAACGAAAAAGTACCAAAAAGTGCCATTTTATAGATTCTCATTTACTCCAGGCTCTACGTACATAATTTCATGTTTCTATGTTCAATTTAATAGAAAACTCAAAAAGTGCCTTTTGAAGAACTAAAAAGTACCAAAAAGTCCACTTTTATAGATTCTCAAGTGCTTAATTACATGTTTCTAAATTCTAAGTCAAAAAAGTACCAGTTGCAACATCGTATTGGGAGCCCGTTATTATGTATTCATATGTTAAGTTAATAAACCAAAAACAATGTTTTATAAAAAAAAGTACCAAAAATAGGTACAATTTTCACCCCTTAAACGTCCGAATATCCAAAAAGTACTAAATTCATATTTTTACTT